AGAGAGAAAAACAAAAAAATGAGAGAGAGAGGGGGAGAGATGACCTCAGCTCGGTCCTAGGTCCATGGGAGAGCCGGCGGTGTGCTCAGCTCTCCCATCTCAGGAAACGCTTCCGCCTGATCGCTTTCTCAGGTCCGAGACGCTGAGGACCTGAGGGCTGCGAGTAGCTGAACACCTTTGGGCTGAAGAAGTGCATATTCATAAAAAAAAAAAAAAAAAAAAAAAAAAAAAAAAAAAAAAAAAAAAAAAAAAAAAAAAAAAAAACTAAGAGCAGCCCTTTTTTTGCAAGAAGCAGGGTGCGCGAGTCTTCTATGCGCCCTTGTGGGGGACCAATTTTGGAGGGGAACACCCCCCATATTGTGTGTGTGTGTGTGTGTGTCTTTGTTTGCAACCCCCTGCTTGGGTTTGAATTTTGAGACGTTGAAACTTGAGTCAAGCACAGATTTGGGTCCATTCTCCGAGGCTCGCGGGGTTGCAGATCGCTTCCTTGTAGTGGGACGCAACTGCCACCCACTCAGCACGCACCCACCACCCTTTCCACCCCCTTCCCACCCCCTTCCCACCCCCTTCGCACCCTTCCCACCCTTCCCACCCGCCCACGTGCATGGTGTTTGCGTGTTTGCGCAGGCGTGCATTCAACGGCATCAGCCCACAGAAACCCGTGGACACATGCAGGTGCAACAAAACACGTCAGCCGCATACATACCTTACCGCTCTTCGAGCTCGAACACAAGGCGCAGCTGGATTTTGTTTCGCTTTGGTTTGTTGGTTTTCCTCTAATTTGTCACGTTAGGTGTGGGTTTCCTCTATCTATTATTTTGGTTAGTTTTCCTTTGCTCTGCAACAACCCCAATTGAAACACCACCATTTCGCAGCCTCCAGCTCACCAGGAGGCTTACCTGTTTATGACCCAAGGGACGTGCAAACACGCTGCCTTTGCGCCACAGCCCTCCTACCACCCACTACTTCAGTCAATGGGTGCCAGCACCCTCCAAGGGTAAGGCTCACACAAAGGCAACTCAGGAACAACTTGGATATGGGAATTTGCCGGTTTTTGTTGCCAAAGGCGGCTTAGAAGTTGTTGCGTTTGAGCTCACCAGGATGAGGCCCCCCACGTGGTGGTGGCGGTGCGCCTGAGGCCCACCGACTCGTGGGGGCCCCGGCTCTCGGTTGGGCCGCTCGGTTAAGCCTGAAACCACGGAAATGAAGGAGAAACTCCTGTTTCGTCACTAGTCCGTTTTGTCGTTTTAGTTTTGAACTGGTTGGGTTTCGATGTTTCCACTTTTAGGGGATTTGAGCACAGCCCGAAACTCAGTTGCTTTGTTCAATTTGCGTGTTTCCTTTGTTAAAGTTTGAGTGGAACTCCTTGCCGTGTCACATGTGAGTGGAGACTCAGAGCTCTTGCGAAGTAGGGAAAACCCCTTATTTTGACCCGACCTGTGGAGCAAGCCAGAGGGAAGCCAAAGAAGCACGCGTCTTGAAACAAGAGTGAGTCAAGGGGTTGACCCAACTCTGCCATACCTGTTGGCTGTTGGTGAAACCTGAGTTGGGGCTTGGAGCAACCCCATTGCCGATCGCCAGGGAAAGGGTCCTAGAGCCGCGCGGCAACCAACTGGCGCTTGGCCCGAGATCAGAAGTTGCCCGGTGGGAATGAGGCGATTTACATGGCTATGTGATTCTTTGAGGGCAGCATGTTATTTGTTGGGTGGTTGGGGAAACCAAGAGAAAAACCCTTCTTTTGCTGGAAATTCCCTTCGACACATGCCCACATGTTTTGTTTTGACACTCAGGGTCCGTTGAGGGCGCTTAGAGGCCCATGCCTGCTTGACCAAATCGGAAGCCAACAGGCTTGTATGTTGTGTGATTTGACAGCCGAGGGGTCGCGTCACCCTTTGCAATGTCAACTTTGGATGAAGCAAAAGTTATGCGTACAGTGAGGGGTGGTTGCCCTTCTGGCTGGGGGGATTCCCATCACAGACAAAATTGTGCAACCCGCGCCAGTGGAACGCTGAGGTGTTTTCCTACAAGGGCGAGGACCCGAAGCCATGTGAGTGCCATGACCCCGAAAGACGTGAGGTGAATCCCTGCAGCTCAGAGAAAAAATGGCGTGTCTTGAACAAACGGGGCGCCAAGAATGGTTTTTTTTCCCTCCGGTTTTCCTTTCGCACCCCCTCCAAACAAAAAAAGACTTCAAGGAGCATCGCTACTGTTTCGACCACGTGCTGGATGACAAAGCAGATCAGGCATCTCGGCTTTGACAGGCCAAAGCTCGCACGTTCTGCGGATGGGGTGGTTGATTAATGCCAACTCATGCCAACTCTAAGTGGGCGTTTTGGTGTGAACTGGCCAGGGATGAACCTAACGTTGGGCTAAACCGACCGGATCTGATTTTTCACGATTTTCCCTCTTTGGTCTACTTTTCAGAGGTCAAAGTGATGAGCATCTTCTGTTTCCCGGTGCAAACTGGGCAAGTCAGTTCCATGCCACAGAGGTTGGCATCGCCTTCGTTTTGCTAACCCCTGTTGTTCAAGACGGTTCTTTGCCGCCCGACTCCCAAGACTCGTTTTAAAGGGGCCCGCAACTTGTGGGAAACAAGAACCAGTTCAGCCTTTCTGGCAACCACAAGAACTCTCCCTGATTACAGACCACCACTCCAAGATCCGTGTTTTTCTTCCTGGACCTTGTCGGCCTGGGGAGGCTCTGAGTGCAAGAAGTTTCGCCAAAGAGTGGGAAACAACCTTTGGAGCTCCTTGGATTCCCGTTATGGCCCATGCTGCGGAAATAGTTCAATACCGTTTTCCCAACGCTCAGGCGTTCCAGGAGGTCCCAGCAGGTCCAAGGAGGTTCTCTGCAACAGGCCGCTGTCTTCGACCTGCTTGGCAAACCACAGCTGGACAAGGCTGAAGCTTCACGTCTTCTCTTTCTCTTTTTTTTGGTTCCAGCGTGGCTAAGCGTTGTGTTTTTGTTTGGGTACTCCTGTTTGTACTCCTTTTTGCCCCAGTGGTGCCCTTTTACCCTTGTTTTGGGGAGGGTTCCCTACTAAAATAGACAACAGAAAAAATCGGATATCCTTATTCTTACCTCTCTACTGGAGGACCTAGGTCCAGAGTGACTCAGCTATTGCTTGTCGCCTTTTTGATGCAACCACTTGAACGGGCCATGGTGTCGGCTGGAAGGATGCCGGTGGGGGGGGGGGGCGGTTCTTGCGGCAGGGTGTATCAAGCAGTTGCATGGCCTCAGGCAAGATGGAAGGCTGTGCTTGGGAGACACTGTGGATGGTTGCGACATCCGCTTCTCGCACCGCGAATCTGTTGGTATTTCCCATTTGGGAATCGAATCAGGCACCAGAAATTCTGAACGGATGGATTTCACCACTGTCCACAGTATGCATCCTTGCAAATTGGACAGTTTTCGGGGTAGTGCTTATGAATGCACCTGGGTATGGCTCAAAATTCAACAGGAGGGGCAAACCGCAGGTTTTGGTCCATGTTTCCACTCATCAGGGTTCGATTGTGGTACCGGTTTTTTGAGCCGCGGCGACCTCTTGTCCCGTATCATAGGATCAAACCTTTCGGCTCCGTAGGCGTTCGATGGCTACAACAGCACCATCTTCGCCTATGGCTTCGGCCTCGGGCTTCACATTTCGCACTCCAAGGATCACATGATGGTTTCACTCTGCGTCATGTTTTTCTTGTCAATTTGGAGAATCAGGATTTAGAAGGCATCTGATTCGGTGTCATGTTCTTCTTGTATTGTCAAGTTTGATAATTTGGCTTCAGAATCTGGAAGTTTTCTATTTCGTGGTCAATATGTGTCAGAACCAGGTGTGACAGCACCCAAAAATACCCTCAATTGTGCTAAGCAGCGCGGCGCTGTTGTGATGTCGAGCAACAAGCCCGGAGGCGCACCAAATTTGCCGAGGTCAGACGGGGAGCGGGAAGACCTTCACGATGCTGTGCTCGTGGCATGTTTTTTTCCTTTCAACCGTCGGAGCTTCTTGGTTTCAGCTTCTTGGTTCACATGGGCGTGCCGCTTGGTAGGGGGCTCCCAAAATCATGGGTTTCCTTTTGGATCCCCTTTAAGACCACCCAAAAAGACCCCTTTCCCCCCCCCCCCCCCCAGATTGGAATCGGAACCCATGGAGACGGTGTTTGTATGCGAAACCCGAGGCGAGCGGCTTCGCTTGTCTCAACGAGACGGTGCGGCTTCTTCAATGTCCCGTAGGCATCCTAACATGTAATGTGAACCCCGGAATAATCGCGGGTTCCCTGGATCCCCAACTCACAACAGAGGCTTAAGCCGCCGTCAACGGCCCCGAAGGCAAGCCCGGGACATGTCAAACTGGCCCCCCAAAAAAATCCCGAATCCCCTCTAAGACGAATTTGTCACTTCAGCTTCCGGCTAAAAACCCACTCCAAATGCATTTTTCTTCAACAATATGAGGACTCCTCCCAATCCATTCTTCCTTTCGCCCACCTCCTGGTTTGGATCGCGATCGGATTTGGAATCGAACCCCTAGACTCCCACCTCGCCTCCAAGCACCTGGACCTCCATTTGCTTAAGCCCCTTGGGAAAAAAGAAACACGACATTTGGAGTGTGATAGTAATAATTGTTTCCTGGAGCAAAGTCAAAGTTGCCCAAAAAGCCTCTCAATGGCGTCAACACAGCCAGCAACTGTAGTGATACCTAGAGTCTCCATGACCCCTACATAACTCATAACCCTCTAATTTTGGGTAATGACCCCAGTTTTGAAGGGTCATGGAGACGCCAGGTAGGTCCCCTTGAAAAACCAACAAGGGGAACTACAACACGTAATCTTCTTGGTGGCTCCCAGCCATTCCCTTGGCCTTTTAGCCTTTCAGTGTTGAGTAGATTCCGAATTTAACCCACTAAAAGTTAGTCACTTTTCGCGGGGGATCTGAAATCGGGCGGCCCAGTCTTGCGCGCGAAGTTGATGGAACCTTTCCATGACGCGCGCCTCGCGCGCCTCGCGGCCCGCAGCTTTTTTCTCGCAGCGCGCGGGCGGTTCCGCCGCGCGCGTCGCTTTTGCGATGGCGGAGCGGTACACCGCGCCCGCGAAGGGGGATGGAGACCTGGAGGAGCGGGTGGCGCAGCTGGAGGCGAGGAAGAAATCGTGACAGACGAGTGACGACGTTTTGGCGAGGTGTTTTGAGTTTTCGAAGCTTGGGGTCGCGTTTGAGTGAGTTTAAGTTTCAAGTTGGGAGGGTGGAGCTTTCTGGCCAGACTTGCGATATCGGAGCTAACCTTTTGCCTTGTTGTTGTGGTTTTCTTTGGATCTTGCCAACACCTCTTCCATCCTTCGGGAGGACGGCGTTTCGCCCAGGCGAAACATCATTCGTTCAGTCAACCCTTTTTCGATGTCATCTTCACAGACGCCGGGGTCGGACTCCGCCTGAGTCCTTGTGACCATCTCGCCAGCGGGGGGTCTGCACGCGTTCGCGGCTCGTGGTCTAACCGACCGCGTTGCGACACATGTGGGGGCAGCATGGTCCACTTGTTTCGGGCCGAAGTTCCCAGTCTGTTGATTGGCTTCGGGTTGGCACCGATTCGAAGCGAAGCCGCGGCACTGGCCCGGTGAATGGGTTCCACTTCTGACGGTTTCAGGATGCGATTTCAAATAGGCTAGACTTCGCAGAGTTCGGCAAGCGAATCAACCTGTGGATCACCTTTGCTAGGTTGAATCAGTTTGGGCAATTGGGCGGCTGAATGGGACCTTGTCTTATGCTTGGGTCCTTTTCTTGGGGACCCCTTAGCTCAGGCTTTTGAATTGTAAATTTTCCAGATTAATCCTCGTGAAGGCTAGCAAGGGAGAATCCCAACCATCAATGGGTGCGGCTATCCGCTTTTTCGATTCTTTACATGGCTTTGGGTAGGCCATTTAATACATCGATCAGTTTTGCTTCCGACCTGATAGATCCCCACATACGGGGACATCCCCATCTAATTGTTTGAACCTGGGGGTCAACATTGCCAGGTATTGAGCAGGGCTCCTTAAAAGATCTCCATTTTGCAACCATTTGAAACATGTTGCTTTTTCACCACCAAAATAAAGGGGTTTACCACCATTTACAAGTTGCAATGTTCAGGTGTATAATGCATCCGGATCCCTGTTGAGTATGCTTTGCTGTTCCATAAAAAAGGCCTACTTTCAGAGGTCCTGAAAGGCGGTCACCTTAACTGTTTTACTCCCAAGGCTTGCAGATGAATCTCGCGAAAACGGTTTGGATGTGGCTTTTGTGGATCCCGTGTAGGATCTTAAAGGACCACTCAAAAATCAGTAAAACAAATAAACGACAGGGAGACGACCGGGCGAAATCTACAAGAAGCGATCATCCAAACCGTTTTTCTACGCCAATTGGTGGTTGGCTTTGGTGGTTTCGACGTTGGTGATCACCTTTTTGTTCACTCCCAACATGTGCAGATGAATCCTTAAGAGATTTCCTAGGGCCCCCAGTGGTGCTCTTTTACCCTTTCTTGGGGGAGGGTTCCCCTACTAAAATAGACTACAGAAAAAAGTTGGTACCCTCATTCTAACCTCTCTACTGGAGGACCTACTTTCTACCCTGCTCCTTTAAGTGGGACCGGTCGTCTCCCTGTTGGTTATTTTGTTTAATGATGTTTTAGTACTCTAATATCCCACAGGGGATCCACAAAAGCCACATCCAAACCGTTTTCGCGAGATTCATCTGCAAGCCTTGGGAGTAAAACAGTTAAGGTGACCGCCTTTTGCCACCGGGCTCGGTCTGACAGCTTCCGTCCGCGAGGCCAAGCTCAAGTCTCTGACCCTCGCCTTGGGCGCCGAACTCCAAGACCGGCCGGAGGCGAATGGCAACGAAGAGACGGAGGCGGGGTTGGCGAAGCCCCCAGGAGCCGCTTCCTATAGCCTGATTCCAATTCCATTCTTTTCAACCATCGCTCTTTCCAACAAACAGGATCCGTTTTCTCTGGGTTTGCGGAGGTTTTCCGGAAAGATCCGGATCCCTGGAAAGAATGGGGAAGGTATCCTTAGATGTTTGGTTTTGCCAAGCTTTGTTGGATCAATCATTTCTTCACCGGGCACAAACCCATGTTCACATTTCTTATGCTGAAAGGATGCTGTTGACCGCTCGCCCCTCAAGTATGCTGGATGTTTGCAGCTTCCATGGGCTTTGAAAGCATTTGGCTTTCACGCGCGCGCGCATTGCGCATGATTTGATTGTAGTATTTGTGTAGGGGTGCCTTCCCCATTCTTTCCAGGCATCCTTTCTAAAAAACCACCCAAAACCCTGGGGAAACAGCTGGGTTTTGAAAAGAACGATGGTTGAACATTTTTTGGGAATCAACCCCCATAATTTTTACTATAGCTGTTGCAAGGGGCGTAGTCCACCAGGTTAGCATGGTTTATGCATGAAGATGCTTGCCGAGACATGTGTGCCAGCTGCCGCCACGCTGTTCCGAACAGGCAGCGGTTGACGCAGAAGACTTGTAAGCAGGTCCCTGCAGAAGTACTCAAGTACCTGCCTGGGGGAACACAGTGACATTGACCTTGAGAAATGTCATTTGGCTTATGGAAGTAACTGGTTTCTCACTTCCTGAGTTCATGAACTTTAAACTTTTTTGGGAAGACCATTTCAGTGTCAAATATAAAGGTTGGACTTTTTTGGGCCATCCACTCAGCCAGTGAGGAACAGTTATCCGTAGATTGCATCTCCCGCCCAATGCTTGCGATTCCAACTCTTCGTGAAGATGCCCGCTGAGAGTGTGGCACATGCCCAGGGCGTTCTGAGCGGGTGGCATTTGACAAAGTGTCTTGTTCTAAAAGTGCGCGTGTAAGTACTTGAAAAGGAGCAACTGCACTGCGTCAAGCATCCGCAAGTCTGAAATTTGGTGCAGAATGCTCTGTTAGCTCACTGGCACCCATTTTGAGAAGCACAATTCCTGTAAATGATTGTTTGGTTTAACCGATTATTAGTGGTGTTGCCGAAAGACCAAAATGATAGGTTGTTCATTTGGTCCCCAACTATAATTCACATGCATATCACAAAGGGGGATTTCTCGGCAACTCCACGGCGTGGAATTTGTCCAAAGCCCAAATTGAAACGTCATCTGACGTCCTGAGTTCTCGGTCGACCGGTACTTTTTGGGAAGATCAGTGGCAAACCTGGATGTGTTTGGCCCATCCACTCGGAGCACTCCGCTAGGGCGAGGGAAGCTTGGTGGCTCCCAGCCATCCAGTTCCTTAGCCTTTTAGATCGTTTTAGCTAGTTTCGAGGTCGTTTCCATTTCACCCACCAAAAGTGAGTCCAACTTTTTGCGGATCAGACAACGGGCAGCCCAGAAAGGCTTTGAACACCAAACCGAGCGAACCAAACAAAGACGGCTTTTTTGCGCGGCGCGTGGCGCGGCGCGTTCGCGGCGCTTCGTTTTTTTCGTGAGGCGAAGGCGACGATGGACCCCAGCCACACCGTGCTGACCTTGAACTCCTTGGCCTCCAGGGCCTCCGCGGCCTCCCAACAGGCGCGGTTTGCGGTTTCGGCGTTTTCCGCGGTTTGCGGTTTCGGTGGCCGCGGGGACCGGGGAGTTGTTTTTCTTTTTTTCCTTCTTTTTTTCAGGGCCAACGGCAGGAAGTTCCCTGGCTAAGATTTCAACTTAAGTTCCAAGCGATCTCAAAATGAGATGCCTGGCAAAGGTCCCAACTTGCACTCTGGAAAACTGACAAGTTCCGTTTGGCTGTTGGGAGGGACAGGAAGGTCATTTGCGGGGAGTTGAGTTGCTTAGGCCGGTGGAAATGCTCACTGCCTCCGTTGCCACCTGACTTTTGTTGCTTGAGCAGTGCATGTGAAATTCTTCATGACCCCTTCCAACCATTCTTTCCAGGATCCGAAATCTTTCCAGAAAACCATCAAAACCCCAGGGGAAACGGATCCGGTTTTGAAAAGAACGATGGTTGAAAGGACTGGGCAATGAACCCCTAGAAGTTTCGGTCGGGGGGCGCGCGCTTCGCGGGTTTTGGGGTTCCTTGGGTTGAGGTCTCAGCGCGCTTGGTTTGACAGGCTAGCTTCGTCAGTGCCCTTTTACCGGTTCTTTCTTTGGGGAGGGTTGCCCTACTAAAATACACTAGAGAGAAAAAGGGCACCCTTATTCTAACCTCTCTACTGGAGGACCTAGTGAAATATGGGGTCAGAGGTGAGGGGTTTCACCAACTGGATCTTGACTCTTTGAAACTTCTGGCTTCACGCCCGTTGCTCGCCAACAGTGGGACCTTCTGTTGGATCCGCAGGGAACCCGCGAGTCGCGCGCAGCTGCCATGGGCAAATCCCAATGGATTTCGGGGCCGAGTTGTCTTTGGCGCTGAGTGCCCGGGTCAAGACAAAATTTTACTTGGACCCTTACAAAGCTGATGCTACCGTTTGGTGTCCAGGTTTTTTGCAGTTTGACTTAAAGCAAGCATCATGAATTGGCATTGCACGCGTCAAAGCTTCCACTGGCAGTTCTGATTGAACAACCGCACCGCAAAAACAAATCAGGAGGAGGCTAAGATTTAATATGTCACGGCTCTGGTGAAGAGAGCATGGCAACGCGGGAATCTTTGCACAGGAATATGGCTTTGTCTCAAACTAGGTTCCCTTGGGCATGCGAGTTTTGCTTCCCTTTGACTGAATTAAGAGGGGAACAAGACACGCCCATAGGGTCCAGAGCATTTCGGACCTCGGTCCGAGCAGAAGACATGGATGCCAACTTGATGAGCGTTTGACTTCGGGCAAAGCAAATGAGAACTCAACGGGCTCGTCAGTTGCAACACAAGAAACGCCTCGCTCGAGCGAAGATTGCACAACCCCTTTTCATGGAAAACGCTGACACGGTGTGCGTCTTTTTCGAGGTTGGACCCACCAAGAAAAATCCATGAATATTGCAAACGGGTTTTGTATGGCATAGTTTTCCTTTTGGCTTTCCTTTTAAGCCAAACCGAAAGGGGTAGCCAAAAAAAAAGACAGACCCGTTTGGGAAAAAAGATGGCTTGTGTTTCGCAAGTTACTTTCCAAGAGCTGTGAGCCTTGGGGTTTCAACGGCATCTCCCTAAGTCGGACCAAGCCATCCGTGCAGGAGTCCCATGTGGAGGACGACTTCCAACTGATGATGAGCGTATCTTGGACTATGATCTTTTTATTTCTTGCTGTGGGAAATCCAAGTCGAGTCCCCAAAATTTCGGGTTGGTTGAGACAGGATGGCCCGAAAAAGAAGAAGAACAAAACGACGCTCACTGGTTTGGTCCCCTACTGACATGCCTATAATGGCCTCCAGGGGTGTCCGTCGGCTCGCTTGCCGGCATGCCGGCTCGCGGGTCATATTCTCAAAGCTTCAGCTTCTTGGGGCTGAGTTTCCCATGCCTGATTCAATCTACCAGTCTTCGACTTGTTTCGGCTTCACCCTACCACCGGAATCGAATCGAAGAATCAGCGCCCACCGGAACCCAACGAAACCCCAAAAATTCCGCCAGTGGGGCGCCAGAAGCGTCGTAGATCACCCGATCCCCGTGGTTGTACTCAGCCTCCTTCCGATTGGTGTTTCAGAGGGGTTTTCAAAACATCTACCCTCCACAAGAACCAGGGACCAGTTCAAATCCAAATCCAAACCAATCCAAACCACCAACTAAGGGTAACCTCATTGTTGTTTGAATATTTTGGTTTGCCCCTCTGTCACTGTTTTTGGTTTTGATTACTTTGTCTGGCAAATCCAGGGAGGTGAGTGGTGGACCCGTTGCTCAGGGACACCAATGAAAGCCAACCCATGAAGGTTCTCTTTTGGGGGTTCCCCCGTGAGACTGAGACCCACTCATGTGTATCATCCCTCTTTCCCAGATGCAACCCACCAGAAGGTCGCTATAGGACAATGTCAGTCAGGTCCCATTGCCGGCAATGAGGAAGTTAGGCAATTTGAAGGGAGAAACTGGGATTTGCACCCTCAAACTGCCATTCCGTGCTTGAAGTCCGGGGAGACATTTAGGTCCCCAAATGCTAAACACCAATAATTGAGTTCTGTTTCTGTTTCCTTCTTTGGGGGGGGCGCCTTCCTGGCCAAAAATATCCTGTCAGGAAACCACCCACACCTGAAGCCAACCATTTTACGAAGCGAAAATGAGTCTTGGGGTACCCAGTGCATGTGCCACATGTCTGGATGCCATCCATTTCTTTGTCAACGCCATTTCTGGGCGGGAAGGCGCAGACTTTGGATTCAAACACCCGCCCATGTCTGAGCAAACCAACCATGTCCAGCCCGGTTGTAAACCAGTTCGGAATAAAACCCCTAGCATATCTCAGCAAGCCAACCGGTTGTCTCGGACAGCCCATCCCTTTCATAGCAAACCAAGGGTTGAGGTGCATAAACCCCGGCCTAAATAATTCCACCATTTCGGGTCCCTGTCGGTTTAAGTCAGATTTGTTCGCCAGCTTATTGCCAGTAATTTCCCCAAGCCAGTTGATGTCCCTTCCACCCCCCTTAGTAACAGTACAAGCTCAACACAAAGAACCGTTTCAACATTCCCTTCAAACCCCCGCTCCCCAGCTCCCCCCTCCCTCCCCCCCAACAAAAACGACGAAGAAGCACAAAGAAGAAGAAGAAGGAACAGAACACTCTGCACTCCAGTTTCAACAGCTCACCCACCCTTCCCCCCCCCACGCTACCCCAAAAAAAACAGAAAAAGAAGAAGCTAAATCCAGAAGTCACTCCCCGCCCCAAAAAACATCACACATCCAGAGATCACCAGTTCTTGGCCCCCCCAAAAAACGCCTTATAAATCCCGAGATCCCCGAGTTTTGCGGCCCTCTCCCCGCGTTTTTTTTCCGGTTTCGGCCCTTGCCGCGGTGCGCACGCCGCGCGTGCGGCGCCACGCGGCGAGGTCTGGGACGCCGTGATCTGCGCCTCGATGGGCAGCTCCTCAGCGCCGGGCTGGGAGGTCGGACGGGCGGACCAGGTGCTGGTGGCGCCTCGACGGGACGGGAGAAACGAGGAACGGGACGACCATAGAAAGGAATTTGGTTTTTCTTTCTCTACTGCTGGGTTGGTTTCCTTTTGTTTTACTGCTATTGGGTTGGATCTTCAGACTTTAACTTTTGGATTGCAGATTCCCATAACTGTGGGTCAAAACCGGTTGGGATCCCATTTTGGTTGGTAGGTGTACCACCCATTTTAGAACCTATTTTAGTGGGGATTGAATCGGATGTTCACTGGGGATCTGGCTTTTGACCCATGGCCAGATCGGAATTGGGCTTCTTTCTCTACTGCTGGGTGGGATCTTCAGACAACTTTTTGGATTCCCATAAAGATGTGCTTTCAACCAGCAAAAAGTTTCATGAAACTTTTTGCCGGGGGATCTACAGCTCCCAAGCTTTGGCAAACAATCCCGTTCCTTCCCTTGGCAGGAATCCGTCTGGATTCCCCGGTCCACCACGGCCGTGGCGTTGCGGTCCTCCGGGCGCTTCGTTCGGTGCACGGCTTCCGCGGGCAGCTCCCGGTCCAGCGTGGCGAACTCGTTGCCCAGGTCGGTCGTGACCACGAAGTTCTTGTCGTCCCCCGTCAGCTCCTGCGTGGCACGCTTGGTGGCCCGGCCGACCGTCTCGGCGTTCTTGTTCTGCAGAGGTTCCACGGCAGCCTCGGGTGAAGACGTCCATCACCACCAGGCCATACTTCGTCTTCCCCCGCGTGTTCTGGCTGAAGTCGATGAGGTCGGCCTGCAGCCGGTCGTTCGGCCCCTCGGCGGCCGACTTGCCCAGCGCGCGCGGCCGGGGCGCCTGCACCTGCCGGCCCTGCGTCACGTCGAGGTCGCGCTGCCTTTGGCAAAAAAAAAATCCAGCCCGCTTTAACGGGAGAAACCAAGCAACATCCATCCAGCCGATGTAGCTTTCCTTTGGCGGGAATCCCGACCCTATTTTGGCGGACATTTCGGTTGAACGGCTCCTTCCTTTGGGCAGGCGTGGGGCTTTTCTTCAGGGAAACCAACCAGGGATATGGGGGGAAGGGATACAGGAGGATTCCCACGAAATGCACCTTGACTGGGTTTGATATGGGAAACATCCATCCGTCTATGTGCCATCCGACGTCGGGAGAAACCAAATAACATCCATCCATCCGATGTTTGGCTTACTTTGGCGGGAATCCCCTTGAACGGCACACCTTACTTTGGCCGGAAATCATCCGACTTGGCCTTTCTTTGCATCATCTAGGTCCCCCGGCTATATGCCCTTTTACCGTTCTTGCTGGTTGGGAGGGTTCCCCTATATACAAAAATAGACCGCAAAATAAGGGTACCCTTTTTCTAACCTCTCTACTGGAGGACCTAGCCATCCATCCGATTTGGCCTTCCTGCAGCACAGCATCCCGTTGAACTGCAAACTTGAACGGCAAGCCTTACTTTGGCAAAGAATCCCGTTGAACGGCAAACCTTCCTTTGGCCGGAATCCCGCTGAACGGCAAACCATCCCCTGTGATTATGGATGGACGCGAAATCCAGTTCCCACTTTCAAACCATGGTTGAAACTAGAACGTGTGTTGGTATTTGCGTTGGGGAATCGGCAGTAACCGGGGTATCTTGGGTGGTGCAGGATTTCGTGCATCCGCAGTATGGGTTCCTTTACGGCAATGCCGTAAAACGGTGCCTGCCCCAAACCCGGAAGGTCATTCCCCTTCTCACTCCCGTTTGGTTTCGGAACTCAGACTTTGGTCAGTTTTTGGGTTTGGACCACTTTACAGGTAAATACCAAGAGTTCGGTTGCTTTCTGTTGGCAACTGAATGGGCCCAGAGGCAACAAACTGCAGGTATTTTTCTCCAACAGCTGAAAGATGCGGTCGATAGGGGTCCCCGCTGAATTGGGGGGTGCATCATTTTCGGAGGAGAGCCCTATTCAAAGAACCGTTTCATAAATCTGGGGTCAACATCAAACGGACCAAACATGGATTGCTTGGATGTTGAAGCTTATCAACATATCAAGGGCACCAACCTCAGTTGCCCCAGTTACCATGGTGAAAACTTATGTCGAGCCAGCAAAACCCAGGCCCCCGCAAATGTTGGACCGGAGTCCTAACCATGAGCCGCACTATGATTTGCGATGGAAGTATTCGCGGGAATTGGTGCCAGATACGGATTCGGAACGCACAGACTCGAGAAGCCTATGTTTACTCTTTTTGTCCTTTGGGTTTCTCACTCCCTGAGTTCCTGTGCGCTTGGACCATTCCAGCTGCGAAGAACAAGTGCCCGGACTACTTGTCGTTGCAGTCCACTCACCAGGGCTCCTTAAAAGATACATTTTGCCCATTTGAAACATGGCTTTTTCCACCAAAATAAAAGAGAAACCACCATGTTCAGGTGTATACTGCATCCGGATCCCTGCTCAGGAAGTGAGTCTTTCCTTCACTCCAGCTTGTTTGCTCCGCTTTTTTTTAGCCTTTGGCCAGGCCGAAAAGATGGGCCGTCACCGGGGCAAATCTTCCCTATGGGTGTTTTGGATTGGCAAGTTGGAGTGTTCGGTTTTGAAGGGTTGTGTTGGATCACACTCGGGGTTTCTCCAGCCACTGTGATACTTTTGGGAATCCCCCTTATGAACAAACTAGTGTTTGGGGTTAGGCCCTTTCTGTATCACAGAAGTGGATTCCATTCCCCACAGCCCTGTTTTGAAGGGACATGTCAGGAACAGAGGTTTTGGGACGGGACAAAGGAAAATCAAAAGGAGAGACAGCGCCCTCAAGGCCCGTTTTTTTTTGTTTAAAGAAAAGAGCATCATGAAGCATCGCTTTGGCCCAAGTTCCTGCTCTTCTGCTTCAACATCACCATGCAGACGGTCTTCATTTTGGGCATCGCCACCACGATGAATGGGCAGCTCGCAACGAGTCGAGTCGGATTTCGGATTTCGGATTTCGGATTTCGGATGCGGACGTCGGAGGCTGTGCAAAACCCGAGCAAGTTCCAAGCTTTTGACGAACCCGGATCTCGAAAAACGCATCCTGATACCCCTCCACCGACTAACATGGAAGTGCACAAAGCCCCTTTGCAAGAGGAAGTAATCTTTCTACAGGAGTTTGTCTACTTCCATGTTGGTCGGTGGGAGGGTACAAGTTTGTCACCTGAAGTAAAAAAACAAATAGCACCAAAAGGGGACATCCCCCCATGAGTCAACCAGGGCCTTTTTTCAGCCCTGATCCAACATGATGGATTTCGTTTGGGTTTTCCCTTTCAAGCCACAGAATAAAAGATGGGAAGAGGTTCAAAGAATCTAGGGGTACCTTCCTCATTCTTTCCAGGGATCCTTCTTTCTACAAAATTTCAGGTATCCCAGGGAAAACGGCCGGTTTTTGGAAAGAGCGATGGTTGAAAGGAATGGGGAATCAACCCCTAGAAAGAAGTACACCTTCCCGCATAGGAACCCGTACGTCGGCGCCTCCATCCCCACGATGAAGTACCAGCGCCTCTTCGACGGCCATGATTACAACCAGATGGACCGATCCACCATGCAGAGCCGAGTGCAGAAAGTCTGCACCGGCACTTGGCACAACCGCACCTCAGTCGTGAACGGTAAATTTTCGTGGGGCTTGAGTCAGACTTCTGTGGGAAAGAATGCAGTTGTGGTATGCATTTGTAAGCCCCCACCCAGCCAGCGGACACACTTTACACTTTTTCCTTTGGTATTCCTTGGTGGCTCTCCCTTTTTACTAGTGGTGGCCCAAACAGTGTACACTTTTTTTTGGCTGGCCACTGGCCGAGTGAGAGGCACCAGATTGGGGAAATGCACCAATTTTGCAGGGTTTTTTAGAAGATCTCCATTTTGCAACCATTTGAAACATGTTGCTTTTTCACCACCAAAATAAAGGGAAACCACCATTTACACGGCAATGTTCAGGTGTATAATGCATCCGGATCCCTGTTTGGTGAAAAACACATGGGTTTGACCAATTCACAGAAGTGGGCTGATGCCCTTAACCCCTTGAGGGCTCTTGGTTTCTTGGTGCGTTTTTTTTTTTTTTGGGGGGGGGCCTGTCAAAAATGGGATTTCTCACGGGATCGCTTAAGGAAAATGGCCTTCCGGGACGCAAGCGCGAGAAAGTTCCAGGTTTCTGGACGGGAAAGAAGAAAAAAACAAAAATCACCTGGCAGGGGCGCAACGCAAGGGCCGAGAGTCTGGCCGAGGGTAAAACGGTTCGGGTGCGCTTTTGAACAATCGATTCCTTCCAGCTATGGCCTGGCCGGTTATGGGCCAGAAATTATTAGAAAAACCGTTCAAGGCCGCGAAGGTCAGTTGAGATTTTGTGGAAAGTATCAGCAATGGACTCATATATGCTGGCGGTTTGGCGGCTAGTTTCCCCTTGTTCCCAGCCATCCCCTTAGGTTTTCAACTTCGGGTTTCGTGGGGAGTTCCATCTATCCCACAAAAGATGAAACACCTTTAGGGCATCTGAAGAAAAGCCCAGTCCGTTCTGATCCGTTTTGATCCGTTTTGGGCCCATAGGTGAGAAGTGACGCAACGAACACACTTGGTCTTGGAATCTGTGGGTCTTGTTCATGGCTATGGCCCAAGCAACGAGCTTGACTCAAGCCCATGGCCTGGAGTCAACAGCAAAGCCGCAAGCAAGCGAGGCGAGCGTTGAGGCAATGCGGGTGCATTGTGCATGAAGTGATTCTCTGAACGAACTTTTGTGCCTGCAGAGCGACGAAACAAACAGCGGCCAGAGGCGCTTCATACCAAGGAACGAAGAACAATTGGCAAGTTTGCAGAAAGGATGAAGCATGAATCTGCTGTTGATCCTTTAAGGCAGCAATTGGGCGTCTCTTTACTCAGTGCACCCTTTTTGTAGTGTGGTTTTGAAAGGGAGGCCAAAAGACAAATCACAATTTTGGGAGGTTTTTCTATTTAAGACATACCCACATGTGTGTAGCATCCCATTTAGGTGAGTGATGTGTTGTCGGGACATTTCGAAGCCTGAAAGGAGCTGGAGTCACTGGCTCACGCTTGATATCTTTCCAGGGCTTTAGACTGGGCGAGTCTGAGATACCCTATTGTTCGGTTGCTTGGATGGGTTTTGGTTGGGTTTCAAAACTGGGAAGACAAGCCCTCCAAAGCCTCCAGCCCAGAGAAGGTGAGAGAAGCGCAGAAGCCCAGGCTTATCTGCCACCTCCACCAACACCTTCCAATATTTGCAGATGGATGGCAGTGGTGTGCCGGGGCAGTTCATCAGCTTGGTGGCCATGACGATTTGGGTCCTCTCCATGGGCAAGGACACCCATGGCAACCGCTGGTCTTTCTGGTCGGTGGCCACCCCAAATGCGGGGGTGTCTCCGAAAAAAGGAGGCAACACCATAGAAACTCAACACATGGAATTGCTGCCTGGCAACCGTTTGAATGATGTGTACTGGAGCTTGCTTTTCCTATAGCTGGGTGAATGGTGCGCAAGTTCCCCGCAGACGGCAGCTTGCGGTGCGCTCTGAGCCTGTAGGTGACCCTGGGTGTGTGATTCTTTGTTTTTCAGGACCTCCTATCCGCGAGCATGGAACCCCCCCAAAACTTTCCCTTTGAAAGGAGAACAGTCTAGGACCCGACACGTCGAACTTCTTTCTTGCGACGTCTTGAATAATAAAAAAAAAAACACCTTTCGGAGGTCTGGTTCATCACGAGGAAGAGTCTAGGACCCGAAAGGTCGTGTTTTTGGCAAAGCCCCAACCTCCGGAGGTCTGGTTCATCCCCTGGCCAGGAGATCCGGGCCACCCTGGACCAGCTCGCGGCCCTGATCATGCTGCCGAACAACTCGCAAGCGCGCAAGTCGCAGGCGCCGGAAGTTTTCGTCGGTTGGCCGAAGCGGTCGCCACTCCAGGCTCGAGCTTTCCGTAAAGACCTTGAGAAAGCGCCTGGAGTTCAGGGCGGTTTGGTCTTTTGCAGACTTCACCTGGGCAAACCTGTGAGCTACAACTTCGGACTTGTTTTGGCCATTCCACTCGATCGGAAGTGAGATCGCCGGCAAGAAACATGCACCAATGGAAGCAGTTTGGATCGAATGGCGTTCTTGCGGCGAAGGCGACCTCTGGAGGCCTTGCCAATGAAGGCCTCGAGTCTGGCGGGCTTGATGTAGCATTCTGTGTTTTAATCTGACACCCTTTTGTGGGGAATTCCCCTTTTGAGGGTACCATTTGGGGTTGGTTTGAAGGGACACTTCGGTTTGAAACCACCTATTTCCTCACTTCCTGCGTTCTTGGACGTTGGACTTGTTGGGAGGCAATTTTAGTGGAAAACCTTGTTCTTAAGCTTTTGTGGCCCATCCACTCGATCGGAAGGGAGTTTTTAAGCGGTTTAAGCATCGCCTTTTGGTTGGCATGAGGTGAGTTCCTTTTGTTGGTATTGTTTTCATGGACATGGATCCCTTTTGCAACGACATATTGGGCCGCGGTGCCTTTGAAACAGTTGTTTTTTGCTTTGCAGGTGATTAGCAAGGAAGAGGAAGAGGTTGGCGACACGACAGCTGGAGTGATCACGGATGAGGGGGGCTATGTGATCCGCGTCATGCGCCTGCCCCACAAAGTTGCCCTGGCGCGGGCCCCAGCGTGAGCGAGCGGAGAGGCGGAGGGCTGGTGGAAGAGACTTGACGGCTATTGGGTCGGATCTTTAAACTTTAACTTTTAAAAAAAATCAAGGGGGTTTCCATTAAACCCACAAGCTAAACTGTTGGCAGAGGGGTCAACAGCAACCAAGGAGAGAGAGAGAGAGAGAGAGCCGTTAGGGAGCCTGGGGGTATCCAATGTTGCCAAGTTGTTTTTGTTTCTCTTCGGGGCCCCGCTCCAAGGCCTTCCTTTTGGCGTGCACAAGCGATGTGCCAAAATTTGCACGATGCGGCCTTCCATTTCCCTGAGGTAATGAAGGGAATCACCATATAACTGGGCGGTTGAGAGGCAATCCTTGATCACTTTGGGTTACGTAATGGATGCTTTTCGAGGTGGTTTCACATAGCAAATCAGATTTGCATGGGCCAACCCTCCATTTTGAAGAGCCCAGTTTGGTCACGACTTTGTCAGATCCGAAAAGGTGACCTGCTGAACATCCAAAAAAGGGAACCACCCTTTGTTTACAATGTCCTGTAAGCTGTATGCCCCTTCGTTTGGAGTTCGTGACTTCCGGGTTTGGGTGTGTCTTCTTTTCGGGGTGCTTTTTGCTTTTGTGGATTGCCAGGGAAGAACACTGAAAGGACCACCCTCTTTTTTCTTTTTTTTTGGTCACTCACTTGCCCCAAAGCGAATTCACCTTATGACTTTTTAGTTTCCTGGTTCGGTAATGAAAGGAACACCCACCATTTGCTTGAACACACACACACACATTTTTTGTTCTTCTTTATTTCTTTATTTCTTTCTTTCTTTCTTTCTTGCTTGCTTGCTTGCTTGCTTGCTTGCTTGCTTTCTCGCTTTCGTTTTAGTTGTTTTTATTGAGCGGGTGGGCGGAGGGGGCGGCGGGTTCGAAACAGAGCGAGTAGAGAGAGAGAGAGAGAGAGAGTCTAAGTTCAAGTTCAAGGGATCTGGCTCAGGTCTTGTTCGTCTACATTCCGCGCTTGGCGATCGCCTTCACCGTGCTTTGGGTTGGCACCATGTACTTGGCGGACACAGCGGTGGTCAGTGATCTGATCCTGAATGCTTGCGCGCGACTCGTCAACGAATAGTTTGAAAGGTTTGTGAAGAGGAGACTCCCGAAGATGGTTGGTTTTATGTTCCGGTCGGTCGGTCGGTCGCCCCGGTCGATCGGTCGGTCAGTGGATTGCTCGGTGGATTGGTCCGTCAGTCAGTCGGTCCCAAAACCAGCCCTAAACCAACCCTAAACCAACCCTAAACCACTCTTAGCCAACCCCAAGCCACCCTAAACCAGCCCTACATCAACCCTACATCAACCCTGAAGCAGTCCTGAACCAGACCTAAACTACCCTAAACCAACCCTAAATCAACCCTACACCAACCCCACAACCCTAAGCCAACCTAAACCAACCCTAAACAAGCCCTAAACCAACCCTACAACAACCCTAACCAACCCCAAACCCACCCTAAACCAACCCTAAACCAACCTTAAACCACCCTGAACCAACCCTACACCAACCCTAAACCAACCCTAAATCAACCCTAAACCAACCCTAAACCACCCCAAACCAGCCCAAACCAACCCCAAACCCACCCTCAACCACCCCTTTTTCAGGCTAATTCAGCCGTAAACCAGCCCTAAGCCACTCTAAAGCAACGCTAAACAACCCGACCCAAAGCAGCCCTAAACCAACCATATACCAACCTTAAACCGTAAACCCGAAATCCTAAACCCTAAACCAACCCTACACCAACCTAAATCAACCCTAAAGCAACCCTAAACCAACCCTACACCAAGCCAACCCTACGCCAACCTAAATCAACCCTAAATGAGCCCTACACCACCCTAAGCCAACCCTAGCCCTAAACCAACCCTAAACCAACCCTCAACCAACCCTAAACCACCTTGACTCAACCCTAAAACCAACCTAAAGCAGCCCTATGAAGCTTCAAATGACGGCCTGATAAATGGTTCCTTTTGGCTTCCAACTCAAACGTGCCACACCCATGCGCTTTGTTTTGCCAATTGCGTCCGGGCTTGCGGTAAGAGTCAGTCTTGGCCGTCGATCCGGTCGCCTCTCACTCTCCCGCACTTACACGCACTTACCCATCAGAGAATTCGTTCAGAGGACGGTGTTGGCCCCGTTCTTTTACGTTCAAAGTCACCCGCTAAGTGTTTTTTAAGGAAATCAAGCAGCCAGTTTTTGACATTCATAACCCCTAAAAGCAGCCAACACAAGGACCCCAGTGGTTGGGCGAACGCACCCCAATTTCCTGACATGTGTAGTGCCTGCGGACAGAGAGTCTGTGGTTTCACTGGGTTTTCCCCCTCGTGAAACGGCCACAAGCCCAACTTTTGCCGAGGTCACTCTTTTTTGGCAGGCAGTTTAATGGAAGCCGCCAGAGATTTGATCAACTTTTGGAGGGGAAACCGGTGACCCCGGTTCAACTTTGGGAGGATACGGAACTGAAGGCCAAGGACAAGTTGAACCGCTATGTTGTTTTTGGTTGAGGAGTGAGTTTTCTTGTGATGTTTGCAGGTTGGACATTGCAAGAGCCTCGGAGCCCGGTGAGCCAAGCACATGGCACGTCCATTTGCTCAATAATGTTTGTTGTTTTCCCTTGTTGGTGTTAAAGGGTATCTATCACTACTGGATGTTTTTCCAGGGGCTCAAGCAAACGGATGTTAAGGCGGCGCGACATATGAAGCAGGATCTGAACATATGATTTCCCCCAAACATCCGGCCCCCAAACAACAAGAACCGACAAAAGCAAGCAAACAAGAGAAAACCCCCCCCCAACCCCCCCAAAAAAAAAATAAAGAGGAGAAAAGCGAAGAGAAGAAAAACCGCCCCAGAAACAAGCAAAATGAAAGAGAACACCCATCAGGCTGGAGATTGTGCACTCGGTGGACGAGCTTGTCTTCGAGTCGGTCGCCAGCCGTAAGCTTCACCAAATGGTGGCTGGTCTGCATGGCCAGCTTGGTTTGTTTTGAGGCTTCCCTGATTGTATTCTTGAGGTTTGTGTAAAGAGACGCAGGAAATCCAGCAAATTTGCTTGGGAAACCTGTGTTTAGATTTGAGGCTTCTTTTCAGGTGACCCTTAGTTGGTGGTTTGGATTGGTTGGATTTGGATTTGAGCCCCTGGATCTTGTAGACAGTAAGGTTGGAAGTGTGTGGCTTCCTTTTTGCGGCTTGTTGTGAAAGAGGGGCTACCAGGAACCCCACCTTTTTTTGGAAGTCCCCCACGTTGACACAAACCCATCGTTTTTCAGTTCCAAAGGGACATGTTGTTTTGACAGAGACCCCTAGCCAGCACCCCACATTCCCTTCAAACCTCCGGAAAGCAATGCGGTTTTGTCAGAGACGCACCCCGCAAGGGGATTTGTTTTTTGCATTTTGGAGAGTCTCTGAAGCTTCCCGTGAACGCCAAAGCAAGGGGATTCGTTTTTCGTTTTTGAGAGACCCCCCCAATGGAACGAAACAAATAATCTTGCAGTCTCGGCCAGGAGGCGCGACTGCGGATGGATCATGTGATTCCAGCCGCGGAAAACGTGTTTTTTGTCAACCAGTTGTTGGCCTTGAACTCAAAGAAGCCGTGCAACAAAAGTACACATACATATATATATATATATAATCACTCGCGACCTTCCCCCAAATCCCAAAGCTGATCGTGAGTGCATTTTGTTTTGGGGGGGGCCTTGGGGGGTCCATTCCACTCAGGTGGAAAAGACTCGGATCCGGTACGTCCGCGGGCGCAGCCTCATCTCCGCCCTACTGGGCCCTGAGAATGCGAACGACAAGCAGGCAGAACCTCATGAAGTCATGATGAATGAAGCATGTCACCATGTTTCCATTTGCTGAAATGTTTTTTTTGTTTTTTTGCTGGTTTGACAGGGAGTCTATCACTATATTTTCCAGGGGGATCACAGAATAGGTGGTATCCCACAACCATGCAGCCAGGTGTGGGTGTGGGTGTGTGTGTGTTTGCGCGGTTTCGCGGAAAACCTGATGTTTGGTCCAAAGAGTTTCAAGGCAAGCGCCGCCTTGGAAAAGTGTTGAGGCGAAAGCACGTGCGTGTTTGTTTGGAGGGTACCCCTTGTTTGATGGTGTTAAAGGGTGAGAAACAAAAGCAAGCCACAATTTTGGGGGTGTCCTCTGTACAAAGACGCACCCGTATTTGGGCAACGTTTTCTCGCGAGCTCACTTGGGAATGGATACCTACCCTCAAACTACCCATAAAATAGGGACACCACCCCATGAATTTGGGGCAACAGCCCATTTTCATGGGTAGTTTGAGGGTTCAGGTGGTTTCTTCCCAGTCTGAGTGACATGATTTTGCGCCTCTTTCAGGGAGTCGAGAGCAAGAGCCAGCTGTTGATGAGCGCTCGGTTGGGCATGCTTCTGGTGGTGCTCGTAATTGCCTACGTGTCTCACTTGATGCCCTTGGTCAACATGGCGGAAGAGGCCTACAAGTCCATTTGCGGCCACGAGGTGCGACAGAAGAAAAGAACGGTGGGTTTTTATTGTTTAGCCTGAATCAGAGGTACAACCATCGGTGGGTTTTGAATGTCTGGCCGAAGTCAGAGATGTATTTTTGAGAATTGAAGCTGTTTGAACAACTAATTTAAACACAGTAGTTGGTTTGTAATAATTACTCAACACGACAACTACAACTACTACTGCTACTACAACAACAATGGGGGGAGGCTTTCGGGAGGAGGAACTGCAAGGAGGAGACTTCAAGTATTGGCTGGTCGATTTGCGGTAGAGATTTGGGGGGGGGTCCCATGCTTTAGCAAAGGTGCCAAAAGGGGATCAACCACAATTTAATCCTGTGTCCTTCGTGCAAGGGAGTTGGTGCTACCCCCTTTTTGGGGTCCGCTGGGGCATGGGGCCAATTGTTTTGCCTCTCAAGCAAATGCCCGTTTTCCTGGCCTGAAGTAAGGCTTCCCAGAGGTTCTCTTGGCTAGGTCCGCTAGTGCCCTTTGACCAACTTATTTGGTTGGGAGGGTTCCCCTACTCAAATAGACTACAGGCTAAAAAAGAGGAGGTGTTTCTCCTGGAACCCAGGTTTTCCAACACAAGAAATGCGGGTATTTGTAGGGTGCCGCCTGGATTTGTGGAACCTAAACCCACCCAGTTGCCCAGTGGCGCCCTTTTCCTTCCTTTTTGTGTAAGGGCTCCCCTTTGAACTCTACCAAAAAGAGGATGCTTCTTTTTTTGCCCATAAAATACCTCAATAATTCGCCTGTTCTTCCCCCTGTCTGCAATATTCTTCTGATGTCCAGCGGACCCCCTAGAAACACCCGCCCAAAACTAGGAAATGCCAGAAATCCAGGAGATCAAAGCCCGCTGGTAGGTGCTCCCTTTTTTACTACTCTTTTCTCAAAAAGTCTCCAGGGGTGGACCAAAAAAGCCCCACCTTTCTCCCGGTTTTCTCGGGCTCCAAAACCCCCGCCTGGCGTTTGGATCCCATGGCGGTTTTTGGCAGGTGGACTTCGCCTACGTCACCCACCCCGCCGCCGGGCTGCCGGTCTTCGCCGCCATCCAGTCGGACTCCAGCAACGAGGTATGGCTCAAAATGAAAGAGATGGGGGAAAGCGCGGGTTTTAGTCTTTGGTTCCACTTGACTCAGTTGCCCAAAGCCAACCTTTTGACCTTTTGGTTTCCCCACGTTGGTCCATCTTTAGTAAAGGTGCCAAAAGGTTAACCTTTTGTTCATGGGTCCTTTGGGCAATTGAGTTAATGTTAACCCCGGATGAAGTTGAACCCCCGGTTGATTTTTGATCAGGGGGTGTCCCCTTTTAGTGGTTGGATTCAGACCACTTTTGGAGGGAACGCCCCCTTTTTTAAAGGGACGGGTTTATTAATCCTGCGTCAACCGTACCAGGGCAAGCCATTTTGGTACCAGTTTTTTTTGAGCAGCCAGGTGGCCACCTGCTACTACGCCGCGCAGTACGAGGTGCTCTCCATCAGGCGTGGATGAGGGCGCAGGGGAGAAATGGCGGCGGTCAAGACCGGTTTGGGATCCCAGTTTGGTTGGGATTGGTGAACTCACCACCCATATCTTAGAACCTACTTCAGTGGGGATTGAATCGGATGTTCACTGGGGGTAGGGTTTCCGAATTGAAGCCACTAAATGTTAGTTACTTCGTGCAGGATATCTGAGGACAGCCCAGTCTAAATACCCTGCTTTGCTGAATGTGTATGGTTTGGAACATTGGCTTTCTATTTTCCAGAGGGTCTTTTCTGAAGGAAAATTGGCTAAGCCGGACCCAGAAACGTCAGGTTCCACGTTGGGGAGGGTAACAGGCGTCCACTGAATGGTCCCTCCATAATCATCCCACCAAATCAAGAAGGGTTTGACTTGGTATTTTTGTTAATGTCTTTCTTGCCAGTGCCAAATTTGAGTTCAAATGGAGAAGCCGGAATCCTTTTTCCAGGTGGCTTCCCTTGCATTCCCTTCAAAAGGGGAGGTTGCCAGGAAGCTAAGCTGAAGGGGGGGGGGAATGCCCAGAATTGTTGTACCAAGAACAGGTGAAATCCAGTGACCTCTCAATAGATTTACCACTGCCAACAGGTCAAATTCTAAGTGCGCATCTCAACTTTGATTTCTGTTTTTCTCAATTGGTTTTAAAGAAGGTTCCAGCACCCCGCAACCACTGCTTTTTGGCCCGTACTTGCAATTTTGGACATGGGGAAAAGCAGTGTTTGGGGCGGGGCGCTGGTAGGGACATGTCTTGATGACTTCATGTTTCCAGTTCGCAACTGTGAATCGGTGAGGGAAGGAATTGCGGGGCGAAGCCATCCCCCCCGATGACGACCGAGGCGGTGTTAGTTCTATCGTTTTGGCTTGCCTGTCCAAGAAATGTGGAAATGCATACTTATACAGATTTTCATGTACTTATCACGAAAGGTAGCCTCAAGGAGGCTAACTTGAGTTTGCCCTTGCCTTAGCAAGGCTAGACTGAAAGGGTCTGGGGGTCGGCCCGGTCGCAAACCCCCCCCCTCCCCCCCCTTCGACTCCCCGCTGGTCCGTTCACACTTCGCTCCGCTTTTCTGAGCTCCCCCTAGGCAGACCACTTTTCCGTATTCTACCTTTCGTGTCACCCCTTCTCAAGTATGTGTGTTTATATGCTTCGTATAAGTGTTTGGTCAAATGTTCCCTCTTTGCCTGGCTCAGGAACGCCATGTTTGTGTTTCAATGTTGACCCACATAAACCCCCAGTTTTTGAGTGCGGCGGGCACTCACTTCTGACCCTTTGACCCTTTGACCCCGGCAGGGTGGGCTTTGACCCAGTGCACTTCCCAAGGAACGAGACATTGAGCCATGGCCGGACTTTGCTTACTCTTTAGTCTTCAAGTGTTTTTTTTCTTTTTCTTGGTGCGAGTTTTCCCAGAAAAAAAACTTGGCGTGCTTCTTTCTATGTCATGTGTTTTGGTGTTCGTTCTATTTTCTCATGTCATAGCGCTTATTTGTTTGTTTCACCGCACGTGGTTTCGGTTTTCATGTTCCCATCAAAATTCAGCGAAGTGCCTTATCTGTTTTGGTCAGCTGAGGAGTCAGCTAGTGAACGGCACCCACACTCTGTGCAACGACACCGAGTCGTTTTCGTGCCCCAACTTCCACCTGGCCACCCTGAGTAAGCTCAAGGCCGTGTCTGCGGAGATCTACGACAACCCGGACCTCTGCAGCTCGAAAGACCTAAAACCAGACTCACCAGCACCCATAATGGGGATCTTGACTGCTATTGGGTTGGAGGTTTAGACTTCAACTGTTTGGAAACAAAGGTGTTTTCCACTCAACCCCCAAAAAGTGTTCAACTTTTTGCCGGGGGGTCAACAGCAACCAAAGGATTTAAAAATCAATCCGGGGGCTTCCTGAGGTACCGATCAAGACGTTCTCCTGCAAGTCTTGCGGAGTACCTGTTTGAGTCCGGATTTCATCAACGTGGGGGTGAACCCTCAGTTCGAACCGATTTTTTCCTGCTCCGATCTGGCGCCGCACTGCCTCTGCAACAACGCCACTCCACTGCAGAGCAAGTTTTGTGGGCTTGCTTTTTTGTGTAATTGTTTTTATGGTTTCTCTTGCGTCCTGAGTTCCTTTTCGGACTTTCGTCACTTTTTTGTGTTTGGACTATTTTAGTGGTAACCAAAAACTTTGGTTACTTGTTTTCGGCCAACCCACTTGGGAAGTGAGTTTGTTTGTCATTTGTGTTTGGAATTTGGTTGATGTTCTCAGGTGCTGGTGGTGGTTTTGATTGATTTCTGGTTCTTGAGGGCAAATCGGACACTGAACCTCCAAACCACCCACTGGGCAGCTGATATATGTCGTTTGGTTCCAAAAGGTCAACCTCAGACTCGCCACGTGTTTTCTCTTTTGGGTAAAGTGGTTGTGTTTCGTCTTTCTGGCTACCAAAAGGTAGCCAGCAAGCTGTCAGACTTTTTTTGAAGCCTGGCGGCTGGATGTTTTTGCAGGCGACTTGCGTGGAGGAGGACTTTGAGATTGCGAATGCCAATCCTTTCGGCTGGGTCTGGGTGGATTTGCTCTCGGGCATTTGCCCCGAGACCTGTAAAAGATGCAAGCCTCCGCTACTGCCACTGCCACGCTAGCTGGAGTCAACGTTTAACATTTGGGCGGGTCTTCGGAGATCCCCCCTCAAATTGAGTGGTTCTCCTTTTGGTACAATCACCATTGAAACGGCAAACAAGGGATAACCTCAAAAGGAGAACCGCCCTGATATCTTTGCCCTTGACCAAGTGGATGACTAAAATCCAACGATTGAACGTTGACGAAGCCAGTGTCGCCTTTTCGCTTTTTCGAGCTTTGTGTTGCCTCGGGGCCGCGCTGCTCAAAGCAAGGCAGGTACTACGCGAACTGTTTCACAAAACACGCAAACACTGGCGCGGAACGCGGAAAGAGTGGTTTGCGGGCGCTTTCAATGATTCAAGTCACTCAGTTGTCTTCGATCCCACTTTGTCACAGAAAGGGTTGCATCATGCTTGTTTGCTTGAGGCACCCTTTCCAGGTGCATGCGCAAGCAACAAGAGAATAAGAGGAAGCCGCCCATTTTGGGGGTCCAAACCCCGACGACTTCCACGGCTTGATTTGGGCGGGCCAAGAACCCGGCGCCAGGAACGTCCAGGGTGGCGAGAAGGCGAGCGGTCGCGAGCAAAGAAACCTTCGGGTTCGTGGAGGTTCGCCGTGACGAGTACATTTCTTTGTTTTTGTTTTTTTCGTTTTCCCCCTCGTTGGTTTCAAGGGAATCTATGACTACTGGAAATATATGTATTTTTGTTGTTATTTTTTCCTGGGCTAAAAAGCAAATGAAGGTCAGAGAGAAGGTCAAAGGGAAGAATCCAGACAGCTTGCATGGCCTGATCATAGAAGAGGGTCCCAAGGAAAAGCAGTCCAGGATCCCTCAGCGAGGTTGGCTTATGTTTTCCTCAAAGGAACATAGGCGAAACTACCCCGAAACGTCACAGATTCCATGGCGACGTGGACTCGAGGCTCGTGACCATGCGATGGTCACTACATGGTACACGCATGGCATTTGCTTCATGGGGCGACCCTTCATTTTGGCGTCTGCCGTTTGCTTTGCCAAAGCGGAGGACCCTTTTCAGCAGGCCCCCCCCCACCCCCACGCAATCTCCGAAGTCCCAAGTACTGTCCAAACAGCAGTGGTTGGGGTGTTTCGGGTGGTTTTAATTGTAACCGTAGGAAACCAACCTTGGCCCCTAAATTTGAGAAGCGTGCTGGGGTCAATACTTTCTGTAGCGCCCTGCTCTCCTTGTTCCGCAGATAATGGTTGCTTGTTTAGGTGACAAGTCTCAGGCTATTTGGTGGATTGGATTGGTTCGGATTTGGATTTGAAGGGGTCCCTGTCTTGCCATTGACCTAAATCTTGTCACTTGGATGCCCTTTTATGGCACCCTTTTGGGGGCTAAAGGAAACCTCGAAAGGGAGGGGTCCACCCCACCTCACCTCCACCGCTGCGAGTGAAGCGGAGGAGCTGGGCCTCATCCCCCGGATCAGCAGATACCTCTTCCTTCGGACGGCGAGGGGGCCCTGTGGGTGGATGTGACCTGGGTCCCGCAGCAAGTGCCAACGTTTACCGTTTCCTTTTTTCGGGGGACGGAAACCCCCTACTAAAGTAGACATCGAAAAAAGTTGGTAGCATTATTCGAACCTCTCTACTGGGGGGAAGGTTTGCAGCAAGGGTGAGGAAGGGCCTCATGGGCGTGCAGAGAGAACCAAAGGGAAGACCAAGAAGGGAAACGGAAAGCCAACCAATTTGCCGGGGACCCCAACTCCCCATATACTGTGGATGGACAAAACCCATTTCGCACCAGCTAAGAATCTCTGGCTTCTGATGTGTCCCCTGTAAATACCAACAAGCGTTATGGTTTCAACCATAGTTTCAAAGTGGCGGGCAATGAATGTCGCAACCATACACAGTATCAAGCCATAGGTCTTTTAATGTCAGTTTGGTTGAACACAGATGGATTCTCCTGGTTGAAATCATGTACTAGTCCCATCTATTTAATGGCCTGCGGCCTGGTTCCGCCGCCCCCACACACCTTAGAATTTCGGCCCGGGACGAGAGAAAGCACGCGATATGTAGACAGACACAGACAGACACAAAGACACGCAGACAGACACGCAGCGGGGGGGGAGGGTCTTCGCGGACACGAAAACAGACGCAGATGCGCAGGCAGACGCAGACAGAGCCAGACAGACACAAATACACAGACAGACACGCGGGGGGGCGGGACACGAAGAAAGACGCAGATACGTAGACAGACACAGACAGACACAGACAGACACAAAGAGACAGAGACAGACACGCAAGGGGTCTTCGCGGACACGAAGACAGACGCAGACAGACCCAGACAGACACAAAGAGACACAGACAGACACGCAGGGGCAGGGGGGGTCTTCGCGGACACGAAGACAGATGCAGATACGTAGACAGACATAGACAGACACAGGGGGGGGCGGAGGGGTGGGGGAAGACTACCCGAAGCCTAGGGAAGAAGCCCGAAAGCACAGGACACGCGCGTTGTTTGGTCCCGAAACAGTATCGGAAGACTAGGAGAAGAAGCCGGAAGATTACGGAAGACTACGGGAAGAAGCCGAAAGATTGCGGAAATTTACGGGAAGAAGCTTGAAAGATTTTGGAAGACTACGGGAAGACTACGGAAGACTACGGAAGACTACGGAAGACTATGGAAGACTACGGAAGACTACGGGAAGAAGCCGGAAGACTACGAAAGACTACTGGAAGAAGCCGAAAGATTACGGAAGATTACGGGAAGAAGGCGGAAGACCACGGAAGACTACGGGAAGAAGCCGGAAGACTACGGAAGACTACGGGAAGAAGCCGAAAGATTACGGAAGATTACTGGAGAAGCCGGAAGACTACGGGAAGAAGCCGGGGGGAGGGGGGGGGGAGGGGGGGGGGAGGGGGGGGGGGGGGGGGGGGGGGGAGGGGGGGGGTGGGTCGGGGGGGGGGAGGGGGGGGGAGGGGGGGGGGGGAGGGGGGGGGGAAAAAATAAAAGGAGAATTCAAAGAATTATTCTTTCTACTATTTTTTTTCTCCAACAGCAACACAACAAACAGAAAACAAAATCCAGAACAACAAGCAAACAAAATAAATAATCACAACCAGCAACAAAAATATTTAATCACAGCATACAACATTAAATAATTCAAACAAGCATACCAACAAAACAGCAACACTCTAAATCATCAAAGAACCCAAACTCAAAAGCACACATCAACAAAAATCAAAGCAACATACCAACAAAAAATATCACAAGAGTATCAAACAAAACAAAAACAAACAGCCAAAGCACGAAAAAATTGAAGAAGCATACCAAGTCTAAACAACGCACTTTGAAAGAGATAAGCAAATTATAATAATTCAATCTTTACAAACGATAAATATATTACAATTATAACATATAATATTTTACATGTGATAATCATAGTATGATTAAACCTGTTTTTAGTGTTTCCAGTCTCCTATGTTGTTCCAAGAACTGCTCAAAATGTTTCTGATATTATACCAGATTAAGTTAACGTCATAATCTTTCATTGGTGCTCTTTGTTGTATTAAATAACGCAACACTGATACCAAAGTATAATAATTACAATGCATTGTTGTCATTCCTCCTCTTTCATTAATACTATTACCATTACGTTTAACGAGTTCTTCTTTCATTATGTTTTCGTAAATCTCTTTTATCCATTGATGATTTTGTTCTCCATACTCAGCGAACATATCTGGATATATATCTTTCATTGTTTTATCGTTTTTAATTATTTCAATGACTTGTTTATACGATGGATAGGGATTATCCTTAATGAAACTCAATATTATCTTTCTATCCTGTTCCAGCTCTTTTTCTGTCACTCCTAGCATTGGCATTTTCCTCTTATTATATTAAGTCTTTATTCCTTTAAGTCATTTTACATTATAATTATAACATATAAGGGTATACATGTTATTATTATAGTATGGTTTTAGGGTATTAAAGTAAAACCATTCTTTGGGGAAAAGGGTAAAATTCCCCTTTCTTTGGGGAAAAGGGTAAAATTCCCCTTTCTTTGGGGAAAAGGGTAAAATTCCCCGCCCTGTTTGGCAATTGGCGAGAGTTTCCTGATATATCTATATGAATATTGGTGTTGTCTAAATTTGATAAACTATGGATATTCCCCTTAAAATTCATTATTTTCAAATTTTAGAGTTCCTATTTTTTACTGTGTTGTCGTTGGATGAACCTAGAAATTTCAAGTTTCAAGCCCAACCCCAAACTCAAAATCCTTAATCCGTCAAACTCACTAAGATTTCACAAATTAATTCGCTAGGTATTTTATATAAATCTTCCTGTTTATGTATTGATGGATTGTCTCCCCAATTTTCCTTGGTGCCCGATGGTAGCCGTTGTGCTGTTTCAATATGTTTATTATTTCTGATGTTGCCACAATCCTTTTTACATAAATCTCTAGGTTTCCAAGTTTTAATGTTATTCCAAAGCCTAGTTCTCTTTCTGTAAGGCATTCCATATTTTCAATAATCAACATCTTTAAATTCAAACTCATCCATAAACTCCTGATTTTTTAATAATCCAGTTTGTGGATTTTCGATTACAAAATATTTAGGATTGAAATATTTGATAATCTCAATAGTTTTTAAGACAATATTATTTGCATATTCGATATTCCTAGTTCCCCTAGTTTTTGCTATGCTGTATTCAGTGCATGGGGGACTACTCCAAATAAAATCAAAATGGTTTCTGTCAAACTGTTTGTAATCCCACTCCAAAATATCAGTGTTGATATCAGCATTTTTCAAGTCTAATGATATCACATTAAATCCAAGCGACTTTGCTATGGTTCCAACGCTTTTTGTTCCACTAAATAATTCTAATAAATTCATTTTATTAGAATTACTTAGATATTAATTATTCAAATAATACATATACTCCATCATCATTTTTTGAAATTTTGTAAAATTCTAATGTTTGTTGCTTTGGTTGTTTGATTTTTCCTGTATTCAACATATCACAGTATTTCTTTTGCTTTGTAGGATAATCACCCGTTGGTCTTCCTATAGATTTTGCTTGAAATATCTTTTCGATTTTTTCTTTATCTTCATTGCGTTCAACTGGTTTCAT